CCGTGTTGCTATGGCATCTCACCCAGAATCGCCTTGGTGTTTTGGTTTTCACGGTGGCCCTCGGGGAGGGGTGGCAAACCGGCTGTTCTGTGGGCAGCGAGCTCCCTGTTGGCCCGCAGATGTGAAAGGTGGAGATCCCTGTGGCACAGTCAGCACTTAGCAAAACGTATCACTACTTAGCGCCATAATCTTTTATGGACTGTTTTATTATTAACTGTAAATCTTTTTGTCCTGGAGCCCCGTGCTTGGACCCTACAGCCCAGGCCATCTAATGCCTGGAATTGCCTAGTCATGTATTTTAACCTGTAGATTTTCTACAGAAGAACGACAGAAATACACATTTAATCTCCATTTCATGTTTACCCAGAAAAGAACGTTGGATAGATAAAAGTTTTGTCTTTTTTAAGTAACATAAAGCAGGAAAAGGAACAGCTTCTAGATGCTACTTCTGAGTGTGTACTGAATGTTTACACGAATCAGCTACGTCTTCCAGGTAACCTGTTATTGTGCAGGGCCAACGGGAGTATGTTGTGGTAGATGGTGATTTGTTCCCTAAGTGACAGACACCTCCCCATTAACCATTAGTTTCAACCTGTTCCTTTTCCAACTTTTTAACCAAATACATTGATCATAGATCAATTTTTAACAGTTTTTGCCTTTTTTCATTTCCTTCGCTCACCTTTTGATGGAGAGGCTTTTTCATAGTAAAATGACTTAACTTCTGGTAGCTGGACAGTCAGGAAGTAAGAGGTTGCAACATTCACAAACTGGCTCCTTTTGTGGAAGAAGTGGTAACTGAGGACAAAACAGGCGTGTGTCAGAGACGACTATGTTGTGAAGCTGTGTGTTCATGTATTTTTCTCCCTGGGAAGATGCAGACTCAGCTCATCCTGTGTTGGGCACCTCCTGGGCCTTCCTTCCCCACTACCCTCTCCCACCACTCAGTCTCTGCAGCCTGAACAGGGTGCCGGCTTCATCCACCGCAAAGCTGGGCAACTGCTGAGAGTGGGTGGCCTGCACAGGAAAAGAAAAGGAGCTTAAGGAACACCATCCCAACACCAAAAATTACACCACTCGGCACGAAGTTGCAGGGCGGTCATCTGTCCTCAGAGCATGGGCACAGTTAAAGATGACCAGTGTTCTTGGGGATCTAAAACCATTGAGCAAGCCCATGCTCCACGGGGCATGCTCCGAGTTTGGTCCCCCCTCCTTCTCTTCCTGAGGCATGGATGCCAATCTAGGTGACATAGTGCCACCATGAGCTTCATATTTGTGTTGAGATAGAGGTTGGCCAACGCCTCATGGCCTCGTTACCCTTCCCTTTTCATTTGGGCTTAATAATAGTGAGGAGCTTGCCCCCAGGAACGGTGGGTACAGGCAGTGTAGAAGGGTTAGGATTGCAAATTGCCCTATCCCCGGTGTTGTGGAAGTATGTAAAAAGTGGAGCATCTGTTAACTTATAGAGAGAAGTAAAGGCTAAAATTATTTTCATTTGCTCAACTTCTCAATTGATACAGTCTTCCTGCAGTGTCCCAGGATCCTGCTTACCGAAGTGGCTGCTCCCATCCTCCCTCATCCCTCCTACCCTCTCCCTTCCCTTTGTTCTGTCCGTTCCAAGCATCATGATTCTGTGTTGTCTATGAGTTGCCTAGATGCTAAGAGACCACACAAAGGCAGCTTAGTGGGTGAGAGTCCACACTGGATGCCAACCTGCCTGGATTCACATGCTGGCTCCGCTCGTGGCATGGACAGTTACCTAACTTCTCCGTGCCTGAGCTTCTCCATCTGTACAAAATACAGATAATAATAGTGGTAGCTACCCCACAGGGTCCTTGTGAGGATTAAGTGAAGTTGATACACACAGAGCACCTTAGGACAGTGCCAGATACTTAGTAAGCAATATACATGTTCCTCTTTTACTGTACATGTACTAAGAACTTTAACATGAAATGTCTTATTTAACCCGGATAGCACCCTAATAGAGATGGTATTTTTAAACCTTTTTCCAATGATGAAACTGAGGCTAGAGAGGATATTGATTTGAAAAAGGTCACTTGACTCTCTAAGTGGCCAGTGTGGAATTCAGCCTCAGATCCTTATAATCCAAACTCTGTGTAACCCACTGCACTCCCACCTCCCGGCCTGGGTGGATATGAACTCGGAGCGTTGCAGCTGGGCTTCTACAGGAAGGCCGTCCTGGCCAGGCCAGCCCCCAAGGTGGCTCTGCACCCTCCCTTCCTCAGCACTAGTTACACGGCGGTTCCCTTTCACAGGCCTCTGCGCTCCCTGACATCTGTTCCCAGGCCTGGCAGAGTGTAGGCCCTCCCGGTTACTGTGAACCCGAGGGAATGAGGGCAGTGTACATGTTTCTCTGTAGCAAGAAAGGTGATAGTCTCGATGCCTTTTAGGGGGACCCTCTTGTGACCCATGGAAGTCTCCACATTTCAGACCAAACAGTTCCATGAGCTCCCCTGGACTCTCCGATGTCAAGGTGACTGCTATAGCCAGCGTGACAGTACCAGGCAGGGCCATTGCCCGCTCTTCACCCTGTGCCCAGGGCCAGCCTGTGGTGTTTCCATGTGAACTGTCCACACGTGGATGTCACTGTCGCCTCCTGTGGAAGCTTCAGAATGAGGGAGGTGGAATTGAGAAATCTTATACTCTGGGTTTGAGCAACAGTCCTCCAACGTCTCTACATCTTTAAAAGTGCTCTGACTCTAAACAGTTTTCTTCATGGAAACATTGAAACTTAACCTCGTCCTTCCAGCAGTCAGCTGACCCTTCCAAATCAGAGCAACCTTTTCTTCATTCATTTTATTCAAGGAAACGGCACTTCTTGCCACCTTGTGAGGATGTTTCACTTATCACCCCTTTAGGTAGGCAGATACAAGTAAAAAACAGCTCACATTTATGGAGCACTTACTGTTTGCCGGGCACTGTGAAAAGCATGTTCCATGGAGGATCTTGATGGGTCCTCAGAGCTCCTCTGTGAGGTGTGGTTACTGTTATCATGCCATTTTAATGACAAGAAGTGAAGGCTCCGAGAGTTTAATATTTGTGCAGGGTCACACAGCCCTGAGTGGGGGAGCTGGAGTTCGAACCCAGAACTGCTCCTCTCAAGCGCATGCTCTTAGACTCCATGCTGCACGGCCTTTTCCTTTCAGTGTTTGTATCATTTACAGGTTATGAGACGTTTGGCATAAAATGGCGTGTCTCCCCACTCCCCAGTGCCTGCTAGCCTACAGCCAGTTCATTGTTAAGCCTATTAAATTGTTTTTTTTGTGTAAGATATAACTAAAAAGAAGCATCGATCAGATGCTTAAACCTCAGAGGGAAGGCAGGGGAGGGTGGGGGCAAGGGGGAGAGATCAACCAAAGGACTTGTATGCATGCATATAAGCATAACTAATGGACACAGACACCAGGGGGGTGAGGGCATAAGCAGGGGGGCGGGGCGGGGGAGAGCAATGGGGGAATAGGACACATACGTAATACCTTACTAAAGAAAGGGGGAAAAAGGATAAAAATAACAAAGAAAAAAAAAGTATGCAACACAACGTTGCATGAAACCTAGCCTAACTGTCCTGTAAAACTATATGTTTATTAATGTATGTTTTACTTAAACATATTTATATGTCTTTTATTTTATCTTACTGTTTCCTTTATAACATATAATAATAGTAGCCATAGCCTTGTAGCATTTTTAAGAAAGCAGCACCCATCATGGGAGTCCTAGGCTGTGCTCTCTCAGATCTTTTCTTTCCCATGATCTGTGGGTTTGCAGGGGGCCTGGTCCCTGCGGGCTGTGTTTGGCTTCTGGGATGGTTCAGTCAATCAGAGGCCCTGATGGGAGATGGGGGTGGGGCTTAAGGAAGAGCTAGGGTGTTTCTACCTCCCTCCCTCTTCTGCAGCAGCTGCCTCTTCCCTGTGGCCCCAGCTCCCATTTAAGTCCTTTTGTCCCTGTAGCCTCAGGGTGGTGGTGGCCTCCCGCTTTTCCTATCTCTGGCTTGCTTTACTGCTCCCTATGCATTGTCCACCACCTGTGTACCCAGTGCCCTCGATTAAAATTTCCCTGTTATAAGTAGGTATTGCCAGTTCTTAGATGCTGCTGGATACATCAGTATTCTCACATGTGATCACAATACTTATTATGATCACAATATAGTTTATGTTTGAGGCATGGAAGATGGATGGATAGTGTGGTTGGGTTAAAACCCTCTGATTAAAAGCATCCAAAGGCTTTGTACTCACTGTAGCTGTGGTATCAGTGGAAACCTGGCTGGGTGTTTGTGTCCCTGGTTCCAGTCCTAGCTGAGTCACGGGGCGTACTTAGGATCACTCAAGTCAGAGCCTCAGTTTCATGGAAAATGAAGGCGCTCCCGGTATCCTTGCTGGCAGCCCCATTAGCTGGCTTTAACTCCTTCCGAACCAAGACAATTCTAAGACACATCTCCATATCTATGGGGACCATCGAGGTGTCTCCTTCAGTGAAACCGCCCCTGATTCCAGCCATCTGCCCTTCTAAGGCACACTGATGGTCCCCAGGGAATCAGGTGCCTGCATGTGGGTGAGCCAGGGCAAGCCTATCGCCACTCTGGGAAGAACCTCGGACAGGCCTTTCTGATTCTGACCCAGATGGTTGGTCTTCATTTGGGCTTAACACACTCGCAGAACATACAACGCAACAGTAAAATTCAGTGCTCAGCTGTCCTGACTTCGGGCTTAACCATCTTTCAAATACCATATGTCATATATTCACCTGACATATAAAACTAGCAGCAGAACGTGCATATGGGACTTGTCTGATGTAATATACTTTCTCTGTTTTAAGCACAAGCTTCTTATGGTCTCTAAACACCATTTTTAAAAATGCATTATCCAGTGTGTGTGTGTGTGTGTGTGTGTGTGTGTGTGTGTGTGTGTATGTGTTTGGGGCTGATGCTCTGGGTACCTTAAATAACTTTAATTTACTAAACTTCACTCCTCCTCCCCGACCCCCAGCCCTTTCTTTTCAGAAGATACATTTAGACAATCACCATTCTCCTCCAATTCAAAAGACCTGCTGCCCGGCGACGCTGCGCTCCACGGGAGAATACCAGCGCCAGGTATGGAAACACTGTTGGCTTTGCTTCTACTATTGATCGCTTAAAAAATTACTTTTCTGAAATGTGTGAATTTTCAGATGCTTTCAGTGAATGTGTTGACGTTATTCGTATGAAGAAGCCAGGTTTTTAAAAAGAGGGAGGAACTCAATTTCAGCAGCCACAGAAGTTCATTAAGAGAAAATGCAGACGGTGAGAAAGCTCTTCGTCTGCTTCAGCAGCCCATTGTTGTTTACCTGCTGATGTTTCATTCGTATCGTGATGTTCTTAATCTTTGAAATAGCGAAGTGTACCCTGAAGATACTTTGCTTTTCACATTGTCAGTGTTTCAGGGAGGCAGCCAGGAAGGTAGGGGAGGGTGGTGGCCCGGGCGGGACCCGTCAGGACCCCGTGGGGTGTGGGCCACTGCAAAGACCCCTCCAGTTTCCGGGGAGACAGTCTTGCCCCAGATTTCACTCTCCTTAGACTGTCTGCACATATCCATCTAACGCTCCTTTTTGCCATCTGAGCATCAGCACATAATGTCTTACCTACTCTTCCTCTTTCCTTTCCAAGCAAAAAGAAAGATGTGTTTGCTGCCCCTCATCAACAGCATGACCGTCCTCAGGGCTCGTGGGTGTCCTCAGAGTTATTATGAAATGAGGACATTTGAGAACCACTGCCCTGCAGCCTGTGCTCCTTACTCACCCACCCGCCACCCCAACACCAATCCCGCAGCCAGGAAGCTTCCTGCTGTGGCTACCTTCCTTCCCAGCCACAGGGAGAACTTCAGAAGCTCTCGGTGGCCTCCACACCCATTCCTTTGTCCAGGAGAGCGGTGGGAGCCCATGGCTCGGTGCATGTGCAGGAGGGTCTAGCAGCAGGGGTGTTGGCCGGGAACCCCTTCAAAAATAAGTCCAGGTGTCCTCCGCACAGCGGAGGAGCCGGCTAACAGACAGCTGGAGATCTGAGTAATGAGTAATTCAGAAACAGATGAGCAGCATCTTAGAAATGTTGGCGTGGGCATCACAAGTCATCGGAAGGGATGTCTAACAAACGGTTGGGAAAAGGCAGCTTTGTCGTCCTTCCATCTTGTGATGGCAGATCCATTTCTTCTCATCTCCAAAGAGTCCAGGGGCCGGCCTGCTTTTTAGCTCCACAGGACTTTTCAGTCCAATCACCCTAAATAACACACGCACACAAAAACACATTACCTGACACCCGGTTCCAGGGGTGGAGAGAAATTCCGCTTAGTTGATGTCTTCATTCTCAAACGGGGCTTTTTGAACTACTGTTTACTTCCCACGGTGTCCTTTTGAATAGCCATCTCCCTGGTCCCCCAAATTATCGCCCTGCTGTTAAGTTGATGGATTGTGACTTTCTAATGTCAAAATAACTGCCTAGGAATTGCAAGTCGGAGTGCTGTTACCCATCCAGCCCGCGCCCGTGATGGATGCACCGGCCCTGCATTGCGGCCTCAGCGTTGGGCTCGGCTGTATTTTAAGAAGGGTTTATGGTCACGTTACAACTTGACCTCAAAGAGCGATATCAGTACATGTCTCACAGTGTGCAGGTGGCGTTTCTGTGATTTGCTTGGAAGACTTCTATTACGAATGAGATAAACTCACACTTAAAAAGTTAACGTATGTTGAGGGGAAAGCCAGCATAGCGGGGATTTTAGAAATGCAAATGCACCATTCTGAGGGAGAGCCAACCTCTGTCCTTCAAAAAGCCTTTCTTCAGGCAGAGGATGAGCAAAGTGATGTTTACATTTTGCTAAAATCCACAACAGCACGGGGGCTTTTTACAAAGAAGCAAGGTGGCCATGCTTGGCAAGCGGCATTAAAATGCAAAAAAGTTAAAAATGATAAGGACAACCTTGTGAGCACGAAGTTCCTGTAAGCTGAAGACATGTTTTGTAAAGGAAAGCCTCAGTAATTTGAACTCATTGTGGAGAAGACCAATCTGAGTTAACAAAATATTGAAGCATGGAGACTTCCCAAGTAAACATTTCTTTCAAGTTCAGACAGTGGTGACTGGACATGATACCCCTACTAAATTAATGCTCCCCACTCCCTTACCCACAATTCGGAAGCCCAAAAGCTCTACCAACCACTACTTTTAAAATAAATTACTCGGTGATACAAACGAATGGGAGCCTATTTACAGTCTTTATGTATTAGCCCAAGGGTAGAATTCATGCATTTTATTGCAGAACTATCAACATACTTGATTATAAAGGCCCACTGGAGTGTTGCAAAAATATGCATTGTGCACCATATTATCTTCTTAAAATCAGAACAAGTATGAATCTCAAAGTACATCAGGCGCCAGGGGTCTGGGATGTGGTGGGCCTACATTTACTCTAGTACTCTGCTGAAATGCTATGCTGGGGACAAGGAGATTTGAAGCTAGAGTTGAGGATCTTAGGTTCTGCAGTGTAAGAGTCACGAATTCATATAGAAAATTGTGAAAGACCAAGTGGGCAGCACATTGCTGAATCACTGGAGAAGACGTGACAAGAGAGCAGATTCAGTGGGGACACCGCAGCGCTCGGGCAGCCTTAGTAATGAGGGCCTGGGTGAGAGGGAAGGAGGGGGTGGGAGAGGCAGGTGGAAGAGGCAAGGGTGGCTGACTGGGCTGGGAGGCTGGCTAGCTGTGCCATGAGCAGGTTGAGTTAAGGAATGACAGTGACTGTGCAGAAATGAGGAGGCCAGGAAGGAGACAGCTGGCTTTAGTGACTAAGCATAAAATAATGTGTGGTTAGTATATCAACAAAAGCCCCAGAGTCCTTAGAAATCTTCTGTTGGGTGCTTTCAACCTTACCATTAAAATATTATTTCTATTCTTTATGTACCTTGCAAACTTCTTTCCACAGATAATCTATAATAGCAAAAGCATAACATGCTAATTAGACTGGATGTCCTTCCGGAGGACCTTCCGGACGAAGCCAGGGCTGCGAGGGAAGCCCGGGTCCTGGGTGCCAGAGGGAAGCTGGTGCCGGCAGCAGGGGGAAGGAAGGCCTACTCTTGCACGAATTTCATGCAAGATAAATGTCAGTCTGGAAAATTATCTCAGGTTCCCAATTAGTAGAGACCGTAATTAATGCGATTACATGGGCCTCGTTCCAATCTAAGAAATCTCTTGCAAATGCTGAGAACCCATAGCGTTCGTTCAACAGTATAGATTGGCATATGTTTATATCCCTTCTATCCATGGGATGAAATTCTTTCCAAACACTTTGGAGTGAGACCATGGGGCAGGGGCGCTGTCCCTCCCAGGAGGCTCACTTAAGGTGAGTGTGTGGCGAATGAAGCAGCCGCGTGGGGGATAGCTAAGTGGGGAGGGTGGGGAGGACCGTGGGCTGTGGAGACATCGAGAATAGCACAGTTAACTAGGCATGTGCCTTCGGCAGATGGTATCTGAGACACACAGCTGCCACCATGCCAGAGGAACAGAATCAACACAAAGCTGCACGGTGCCTTGGCCTCTGGTGTTGCCACTATTTTCTAGACTGACTTTTCTGCGAACCAAAGAATGCTCGAGAGCCCAGACCTAAGGTCTTTACTTGCCGTGAATGTCTTAGAGGTAGCACCAGGAGTCCTTAATAACACGATGATTTAGAAGCTGCTGTCACCTGCTGGACGGAATACCCTTCAAGCTGTGAAGAGATGCTGAGTGCACCCTGGGTGGTGGTGCTGCTGGTGGTGATTTTGCAAAAGAAAGAACTTTCCTGTTCTGGGGCAGATAGAATCACAGGCCGTGTATAGTTCCGTGCACTTTGTCTAATGCATAGTTGTCTCGCTCTGTGGAAGATCTATGTTAGGGAAGAAAGGTTCTGAGTTCGGGTGCTCGTCAGGGCACGGAGGGCGGTGCTTCTGAGTGGACAGCAGACCCCTGCACCTGTAGCTGCCTGTGTCTGCTGCGGAGGGAAGAGTGTCTGTCTGAGCATGGCGGTCACACAGTGTGGCGCTTCCGCTGTGTCTTAGTGTGACTTTTGAAGTCACAGTCTGTTTGCTCTGTTTGAAGCCAAAACACAATAATACAACCCGTGCGGGTGTGAAGGGAAATGTGCGTCTCCGTGGAATTCTTTCACAGCCTTCGGAGTCACTGGTGCTTCTGTTTGTCATTTCAGATGGGGCTCAGCGTTCGTGTAGAGCATTTCAGCAATTATAGGTGTAAATCCCGATTCTCATTATTTGCCAACTCCTTTTTAAAAGCCCTCTTTTCATTGCTGTTGTTTATAATATACAAACAGGGAGCAAAGAACCTGGGGAAATTTAGTTCCTTTTAGGACCTGAGATGCCTAGCAGGATCTGATGTCAAATGAAAAACCTGGTTTGGAATGGTCTGCCTTGTCCCCAGGCCAATTCTTGATCCATTTTCCTCTCTCTGTTCGCCCATCAATCTAATAGGAGTGGTACCATGTCATACACTTTCCTGAAATCTAAATAAATGATGCCTTGAATTAGAGTGCCACCCGCAACTGACCCAGCCTGCCATGCTACTGGCCAGATATGAATGACCTCTTTCAGACAGTGGCTTAAAAAATGTGTCCGTCACTTCTTTATAATAAGACTTCCCAACTCATCCCTCAAGGGAGACACATACAAAGCTGCCCTGGATTACAGCAAGGCATTTTCTTCAATCCTTTTTCAAACATACCAGGTTCTTTTTACATTCAGACTAAGTCACGGATAAACAATAGAACATCGGGTGTTATTGGCATGTATCATTTTGTAGCTTAAGCTCCTTTTTGATTAAACAAATTTATTCTGTACAGAGAGGGAAGCTAATAGTTATCAAGGACCTTCTAAATTGTCAGGCACAGGACCTATGCCATCTCATTTAATTCTGTAAACAACTCATTCAGACAGAAGTTATGTTCAATTTACAGATGACTAAATAGAGGTTCAGAAAGATTTAATAACCTTTTCTAGTTTATTGATATGTAATTGACATATAAATAACATTGTATTAGTTCAAGGTACATAATATAATTTTATGCTTATATTGCAAAATGA